GTCACTGTGTCCTATACAAGATTATCGACTAATACAGTGATGAATTTTAGTCCCAAATTACTATTCGAGATGCAGGTTTTTTTTTGACTCATCACCTGATGATTTCTGGAGTGTCATGGGCTTGGTTCCTGTGTTTCTAAGAACAAATTTCTTGTTTCTGTTCTCTGGTCTCCCATGTTCATGGCCACACTGTTGTGTTGCTGACTGTCACACAGGATGACATCGCTTCCTTGGCACAAGGGTGTGCACTGAGCACTCTCACTTCCAGCCTGGTGCAGATGACAGGGCCCGACTGCTGTTTCTCTGACTTCCCCTTGCAGGCTCCGTATATAGTTTAGCTGAACTAAATTACATCACCTGAAGCCAGTTGTGATTACTTTTTCCATAATTTTTAATACCACAATTGAGTCTTAAACTTTAACACTAGTTGAATGAACACTGAAGAAAAAGGCAAGTTAAATGACAATTTGTAGCACTGACGTTTTGACTGCATGTGCTTTTAGTAGGTATGTGTCCCACACTGCAGGATGCTTAGCTGCATCTCTGGCTTCTGCCTACTGGGCTCCTGTATTGACCTCCCAAGAAATGCTAATCAGAAATGTCTCCACACTTTGCCACAGGCCTCCAGGAGGCGATGTTGGCCAGGTTGAGACCCACTTAGAAGGAAATACAGACCAGCTTGCTTTTAACACTAGAAATACTCCTGGCCATCACATCCAGGTGCATGCTTCCACAAGTGTATCCAAGAGGTTTTTCATCACACCAGCCTAAGGACCATTCCCAGGTATCTTTCCTGCCTCAGGATTGGGCTGCTTCCAAGTGACCAGAGAGTCTTCATGCACTCCAAATCCAGTTTCTTTCCACAATCTTTCCTAGTTTCCAAGATCTTGTAGGGATATAAATCCCCTTTGGCAGCAGTTCTTCCATCCAAGCTCCAGAATTCCTGAAATAATCTCAAGGTAACAACTTAGTAAATGTGTAATAAAGGTACCCACAAAATTGACGTTACTAAGCACAAGAGTCCTCTAACTCTTTCACAGAATTCAATCTGCCATGAAACATGCAGAGACTCTTAGATGCAGCGACTTAAGTCCTATTCCCAACATGGTGTTTTTGTTTGTTTTTCCTGAAGAACCAAAGAGCTGACAACAAAAATAAAAATCCAGTTCTTAGCCCTAGAAGGCAGAGTGCCCGCTTGAATATTTTATGGCATTTGTCTATGTTCATAATATGAACATTTATATGATCTTAAATTCTAGCCTCAAAAGGAATGCTTTGTTACATAAAGTTGTGATTTGTAGTATCCTGAGCAAGCTCCTTTTATATAAAAGGTTTTCTAATGTCCTTTCCAGGAAAAATATACAAATGAAATCTTTTCAATGAAGTGTCATTATAGAACATATATACTGTGTGTGTGTGTGTGTGTGTGTGTGTGTAATTGGTAATTAGGTTATTTTTTGTGGTCCAAATTTGGATTTCAATAAGTAATTAAACTTATTTCTGCTGCCTCTTTAGTCTTTCTACTATCAAAATAAAGTTTTATCTTAGAATATTTTTATTTAGAGTCATATAAACAATGAAATTGTTCATAAAAAATCTCATAATTGCATATTGAATTTAAAGGGAAAGAGAACTTATGAGACTATTGAGACATCTTTAGATTTTTAAAGTTTAATTTGCTTTCCCACCTGGGCACTTTGGGGAATTTAGAAGTATTTTGATAGAATATTCCGGTGAGAAAAGTCATCACCAAACGGTCTGTTCTTTTTAGTGCTAATATTGTTCACGCATCAACACCTGCTTCTTTCGAGATGGTAGCAGCTGTTGGAGTTGGAAAAAGGGAATGAAAGCTTGATAGTTTCACACTCAGTACTACTGTGTAATGAGCTAAGCTGGCTTCTGAAAATCCCGTTTATCTTCAGGAGGAAAGTGAGACATTGCTTGCAAAAATTTTAGACATTTGTGAAAAACCAATACACATCATGACAAGTTTTCAAAAATAAAAACAATAAATAAATCACATACAACTACTCAATTTAACGATAGTAACAGTGTTTTGTATCAAAAATCAGGAAATACTTGAGGAAGTTATAGTGTGTCCTTTTTTACATCAATCTGTAATATGGCTTGTCTGTTTGTTGTTTTCAAAACCTGAATTAATTCAGATATACAGAATGTAAACCCCAAACTGATCTTCCATACATTAGATTTATTTAGCCATATTTATTTCATCTCATTTAACTTTTGCCCCAAATCAAGCCCCCCTCGAATACTTAAAAGTGCTTAGAAAGTAATCACAACAGGCAATAAATTCTATTTAAATAAAATGTGTGGTATCTGACACACACAAAAACTGGAGTCACTAATGCCTGGACAAAGTTTTGCATTTTTCCATATTATTTAAATTTATGCAGACCAGATTATTTAACTCAGAGAAAATGGGTATGTGACCCTGCTTCCAGTTTAAAGTTTTAAAGTTAGCTAGCGTTTGTCTTCCTTACTGAGGTCCTGTAATGCTTTACACTTGAAGTTGTCCTTGAAGACCATGGGCGATTCTGTGTTGTGCAGAATTCAGTGACCCATTTACTTACGAATGTGAACCCAATATTGCAAGCGTGCTCTGCCCTGCCTATTTTACCTCTGAGTGATATTCAAGGTGTTGTGTTTAATCAGCCAAGACCTATATGGTTTAGCTTATCGTTTTCTTAGAGATAAGGGTTTCTTCTCACTTATGAAGGATAAAGGTGACAGGAAAAGCAAGGAGACTATCACAGACGCTTCCTAGTGTTAAATGCTCTGGTTCTCTGCTAGAAGTGAAAGTTTATATCCTCAAATATAACCCAAGCAGATTTTTAAATCAAACTGCCACAGTTGGTCTGGCCATAGATATCTCCAAGCACATAAGGAAATGATTATGTCTAACCCTTAGTGACAGTTAGGACCCATTGCACTAATTCCACATTATGTAGTTAAAGTGTTCACCACCTGCAGCTGCAGCAGATGCAATTTTCAGCCTCACAAGTTCCCTACACCTGTGTTTGATTTTATTTCAGATTCAGATTAACATGTTGAATTAGATTTCCTTAAGTTTTATCTAAATTCTTATACAGTTTGTGCCATTGACTATTCATGATTAAAAAATCAGCAGTGTCTTCGTTTCAATTTTAGTTGTTGCATTTTTAAGTTCAACCAAACTAACAAGTATGAGACACTTGATCAATTAATGTATATTATATGGCACATATTTTTATTTTTCGTCTTCATACCATAGGTCAGTTTATTGAGTAGTCTTCCAATCTGGAATATGGTGACCAAGAACAAGGCTTTCATTTTCATTTCTGTAGAGATATATATGTATGCCAATTCCGTTTGATTGTGTCAAAATTTTAGAGGCAAATTCATCAGGAAAGAACAGAGAAGGGGGAATGAGGGAACAGAAATTATATGGATCAGTGAATTATGAGACATATATTGTGAGCCTGGCTGGGCCACTGTGTCACATGGAAAATACAGGATTATTTTCCAGTATAAGCTCCTTCAGCAGTGTCACAGCAAGTGCTGGTATCTTAATTGTTTTTCTCTCTGCTAAGACAAAATACTTGACACTCATATGTTAAGGGAGGAAAGGGTTTATTTAGCTGACAGTTTATAGAGGTATTAGTCCATAACTGGCTGCTTCTTAGGCAGGGTGGCATGGCAGAGGGGCATTGCTGAGGAAAAACAGTTCATGGCAGACAGAAGGCAGCAAAGTAGCAAGAAGCAATAAGGGATGACAGCAGCCCTCTTTCTGTCCTTTATATTCTATCCCAACAGGTGGCAATAACACCCAAGGTGGGCCTTCCCATTGTCCACACTCAGAGCTGTGGCAAAGCAATTAGTGGGCTAATTTAGTAATCATATACCCTTGATCCTAGCATCACACATTCTAGATCCAGCCACCTCTGAAAAGCCCCACCTACAACCCAGCCATAATGTGTAGGGGGTCTGCCTGTGGGGTCTGCCCCAGTCTGCGTGCAGGGCAACTGACCGAGTGTTACACTCACCCTTGAGATACACAAAAGACAACACTTTCCACCAAGTATTCTATTTCCTATAGTCCATCATCTGAGAGCTTTTACACCCTGCCAATTTTACAGGATGTTATATTCCTAAAATGGATCCCTGGATGTCTTTTGTTCCACAGCCAACTCTTTGAACACTATAAGTGTCCATGTTTCACACACGACAGCATCCCTGATTGCTCAGGTGGTGATGAATGTCTGGTCTCTGTGAAGTTTCTCAACTGTGCTACTGGAGGACTATTCCAAAATCACCAGCCTTTAGATGGCTGATTGCTCCGTGCTTTTCCCCATATCCCCCTACTCTGTGTCTTTCTCTCAGTCCTTTCTGATCTGATGGTGAAAATGGGAAAGATGTGGTTGCTCAAGGAAGTCTTGGTGTTTTCTCTGACGGTTCTTTTCTGTACTCTTCAGGCCTCACGTGTGCAGCTTTGTTCTTAAGGGTGTGGCAGTGACATCTTTGTGTACCTGCATGGCTCTATTCTTGGCCTGTACAAGGACTAGAAAAGCCTCCAAAGAGAATGAGGTGGCATTTAAGTGATTTTAAGGAATCACGGTCCTCACATGATGAAGCTTTACTGCCTTGGAGTCATAGCATGGTCACTGTGGCCAGGACCCGAGGGTCTTACCTTTGTCCATGTTGTCATTAGGTTAGCCCAGCTGATATCCCCCACTACAATGGAGTGTTTAATCTAGCCTGGCTCTGAGTTTTAAAAAATACTGTCTTTGTCCTAAGGGTAATGTTTTTATCATCATGCATCAACTGTAAATTCAAAGACCACCCTACAAACGCTACATGGCTAACCTTCTAGTCTTACATTCACATCTGTCTATAAGAAGCACACATGAGAGTTGAAATACACAGAATATGGAACACACTCTCATAAAAGGTAGTGATCAGAATGCTAAATTAGGGACGTAATTAACATTAAATATCCTTTATCATAATGTCTATCATTTATTCACAAGTGAAAATTTCTTTCTACTTTGGGAGTGTGAAGCGAGTCTGTTAGTCTCCAATACGTGATAAAACCAAATATCCGAACCATCGTATGGGGTATAACAATCGAAAGGTACAAAACTTTAGGTAAAGTAAGGTAGACAAAACTTTTGTTTTCACCAATTTGTAATAAACAATAATGTACATTTTTCTTCAGATAATAAATGGAAAGCATATTTCATTATGTTGGCTTGTTTGAAGCTATCCTCATTCCTCTTCTAGTCTCTGAGCATTGCTATCTGGTTCCTAAAGGATAAAAATACTAAAATGAAAGCAGGGGCACCATAGAAAGAGTGTAGCTTAGCAAACATCCTGTGATAGTGACAGCAATGAAAAACCAAGCCAAACAATAGCAGAACCAGTACAGATGTAACTTTTGCGTTTAATGAACAAAGAAATGGCTTTCACAGAATAAGAGACAGTACAACTGTAGCAAGAGAAGTCAGTCTCTACTGTGACACATAAGGACACTTGGCTTAATAACAAAGACCATTTATAATATAAAACAATTTATTCATCAGCAATGTGATGATAATTCTTTGCACTGCTGGGAAAAATGTGATTTTTTTGTTCTTTTTCAAGACATAGATTGAACAGTGCATCTGAAACCTTTTGAAACAGAGGTAAGTGGCCTTGCTGGCTCCCAAGGCTTCATGTAGTGCCAAAAGCCAAAGAATAATATCTATCATAGTTATGAATTTGCAGCAAATTATAACATACAAAGCATAAATAATAACGATTCCAATGGGTAGTGAGAAGATGTTATCTCTGCGAAAAAATTTAAATATTTTGCTCCACAATGTGATATACATCTATAGGATAGTTCCTTTCCCTTAGAATATTCATGTTAATTTTTGTAGAAGGTTGTAGGTATTTTCCAAGTATTATGTTTTAGATACTTTTCTTAGATGGGAAACTCTTCTATAAATAGGAATATCATTGTGCTTGGACCTATAAAGTATACTCAATTTTTTTTCTTTCACTTTAGTTTGATTTGATTATTTTGACTTGGCTTGATTTAGTTTGGGGATTGTGTGAGAACTACTTCGAACTAATAAAATATCACTTAAACTTGTAAGCTCTGTACAGGTTAGGACCATGTGTGGATCATTGACAGAAAGTGCAGCTGGTTGGGTAGAAAGTGGATATTATAAGTTTAGTATATTCAATCTGAGCTATTTGGGACTGCTTGTGTTTCCAAGTTTGGCATTCACTTTGTTCGTTTTTGGTTTTGATTTTTTTTTTCCTTTTAGAATATTTGCAGAGATCAGAAAATCCAAAATCTAAAATACTCGAAAATCTTAACAGTTTAATTTCAGATTTTTGGATTAGAGTTACCCTCTGCACTTGAACTATAATTGTAAATATTAGTTATTGGAGTTACTGTTTCACCATTGTAAGATGGTGTGGGAAGGACGTGAGAAATTTTTAGTTACTTGTCCAAGGAATCGCCAAATATGAATAGAAGACTGGAAATACAAAGTGGAGTGGTATGTGAAGCACTCTTCAACTACTTCCCAGTATTTCTGCAAGCTAACTTATTTCTTAAACAAATCAAATGTGACACTTCATTTGGATCTGCTTCTTCACATTTGTTTTCATCTTCCTTGTCAATTTAATGTTTTATCTTTGTTGTTAATAGCTACCCCCTAATGAATATATTCTATGTGTTAGGTATCAATTTTGGATTATCTTTATTATCTCATTCAAGCTCCGTGAAATACTTGTCATGATCTTTATTTTGTAGATAAGGAAACTGAGGCTTACTTTAGATAAAGTATTTATGAAAGGTTTATGTTCTTCTATTTAATGCATCATTCTTCTAGACAGAGACTGAAAGCCCAGAGTCAAGTCTACAGGTACTGGAATAGATTATGCCTAGCTTGGCAAATACATTAAATATTTTGTATAATAGAACAATTAATAACATGAGTAAGTGGAAATACTCAAACCTTTTATGAACTAAAATGTAGTTAATACATCATTTTTGAAGAACTTGAGTCGTGATGAAATGACCAGCTATAAAGAGATACCATCCTCGCCAAAATGTTAATTATTTCAAAATGGAAATCTGATTATTTTTCAGAAATTGACTAATAATTAATTGACTAGCTTATGTGACTTGAGTACTCTTGACATTTCCTCCCTTAAATTGCAAGTTAGAAATATGAAAGGTGGGCTTCTTTCACTGAAGTTCATAGTTAATTTTCCAGTGTCTTCTAACTGCTAACATTTGAAATGAGCATTTTTATTACTAAAGAGAGATGGTCCTAGAACCACTACTGGGAAGAGTCATAGTGGTTTTAGCACTGGTGTAAAGGTTAGAAGAATTAGAAAATCCTCTTGGCCTAATTAAAATGTATGAATTTTTCATACATCATGAAACTGTTCTAAATGGCTACAAAAAGCATAGAATTAGATTTATAAAAGAAAGAAACTACTTTTAAGCACAAGGGTTATTTAATTGTTCTGTCATCTCCTGTGTATTTTCCCCTAAAGGGGATAGGAATTGGCAAAGTTATTGTATAATATTTATCATCGTATATAATATTTTACATTTAATATTATATTCAAAGGAGAAAGTTTCTCAGAACCATTCTTGTAAAATGGTCTTGTTTTTAAAACTACCCTGTTCATACGTGGCTGGCTGACATCCCTGCTGAAGGAGAATTTATTAATGTATTAATGTAAACAGTGACTGGTATACATCTAGTAACTGCTAAAGCAGCAGGACTCAGATTTGTCCTGAGAGTCATATCCATAAAATGTTAACCTAAGCATAAATACAATCTCAGGCTATAACTCTCTGATGTCACTATAAAGTGGTATGTACACTTTGAGTTATTCATATTTATATTCTCAGTGGTGTAAAGCTTTTTAATAAAATGTACAGTGTCTTCACATTTTGTTGATATTTGTGTTGGCTTCCAAATGTTTCTGATTTGGTGGGTTTTTGAGTTGGGCATTGGTAAACTGTTTGCCATGAGAAGTATACGTGTTGTTTCTGCCATAGAAATGCAAGTGCCCCGGGTGGACTAAATGAAATTGAGTTTCATACCAGAAATGAATTTGAGAAGAGGCGATTAGAAGACTTGCTGACCACTGCTTGCCAGTCATGGAGGTCTGAGACTGTAAACCAGAAAGGAAACTTTAGGAGGTCCTGACTTGTGGCTGGGAAATTTAGTTGAAACAAATTCGCAGTTTCTCAGAGAGTACACTTCATCCCTGAACATGTTCACTCCTGTGACGTGAACTTCTCCCCATTTAGTGCATGAAGCGCCATGGCATACTTACATGCTCATCTCTTGCCAAAAGTGAAAACAGCCACATTTCGCAGCCTAAATCTGTCCCAGATTCTATATTGGCTCTGTACGTATGCCTGAAAGGAGATGGTCTCATTCGCTGTCACTACTCATTCAACTCCCGTTCTCCTGTCACATTTACGAGGTGGCATTCGCTTTTACCTCTGCTCAGAGACTCATTTCACAAAAATACCATGCCCTTTCCACTACACAAAACAGTGGATGAATTTCAGCAAAGGGCTCATTTGACTTCGAAGAAGTCCATGTGAAAAGCACTCCTTTATCCTTGGCACTAATTTACACCTGTTTTCACACAACTTTCCTTCAGTGGCTTTCATTCCCCTCTCTCCCTTCTTATATTAACCCAGTATCTTTTCTGACTCTTGTTTAAATGCTGTCATCCACCGAAACTCTTTTTAGGTCCAGCTTTCTTTCTCTTCTCACTGTAAATGAGTGTACCGATAACCTATGAATGAGAACATTGCGGGAGTATCTTTGCTGACTGTTTAAACCTGAGAATATATGCATGCGTACATGCATAGGTACATAGACATTTACACATATTTTCAGTCATATTTCAATCAACTATCACACATCATCCCCATTTCTATTACATATACAAATATATAGTAATGATATATCCCCAAATTCTGATTTTTAACTAGGTGATTTTCGCAGACAATAAGACTTTCAGAGACACCTTCTAAATGCTATGTCTGTGTCAACTCAGATATATCTCTCTTGTACTTGCAAAAGTTCTCTCCTCTAATTGCTAACAGGCTATGTATAGTTGTGGCTTTCTCTCTCCTTAGTCAGTTTCACTGTAGTTTTGCTAAGTGTGTTTCTCCACGAGGTTACGTCTGGCATCATTGACCCTCTGCATTATCTTTGTTCCCTGTTGCCTTTTCTCCTTGTACCTTCTCTTTCCAAACTTACTGTTTTCTTCAGTAGACAGTATTTGTTTTGAATGCCTTTCTTTCTAATAAACTTGCCTAAAGCTGTAAATACCACTTTCAGTTAAGACTTTCATTAAATTCCTTAACATGTGATATGTAATATCTTTTTTTAACAGCCAGTTCTGGGTTTGCAAAATCTTATTATAATATCTTTGCTGATACATTAATCATATGCATTTTAGCTCCAAATACATAATAACTTTGATATGTCTTTTGTTATTTGCTTTGAATTTAGTTACATTTGGTCACAAAATATGATTGTCTGCCATTTCTCTAGATCAGTTATATGCTCAAGTCCCAGTGTGTGGTAATTGTGTAATTGTTTCATGTAACTTAAAGAGGACCTGTGTTCTTCATCTGTTGTACTCAGCATTCCATAAATGTCCATTAAATCTTTAAGTTGTGCTGAGTATTTGACATGTGTATTTTTCAACACAAACTATGTGCATGTATTGCAACACATTTAGACTGTCTAATCTAGTTACTGTGTTCATTCCCTTGTGGTCCTGCCAAATTCTGTACATAATTTGGATATTTTATTAAATTGACTAATAATTGCAATTACTATATCTTCTGAATTAATCCGTCCTATCATTTTATAACTACTAGTACGATATAGTAACATTTAAAAATTTAAAAATTTTATGATTTGTCTTATTTTTATCTTATTAACAAAATTCTTTTCCTGAGGTTTTAGAAATATTTTCTACATTGCTAAGTTGTGGGGTGATGGTGCCCAGCAAAGCTTGGCGTCAGTGTATTCACGATGATCGTGTTGTAGAATGACACTGAAAAATGTGTACTCATGGTAAAATTTCTATGTTTATATTTTTAAAACTGTTAGAATTTCATTCTAGAGTATAGACAATGATGCCAGTCTACACATTTTAAAAACCTAAACATCATCAATAAATCTGAACTGACAACCACTTTCCTACAAGTTGTTTCTGTAAAATCCAGACTTTTCTACAAACTGGTCAAAGGTACAACAGATCCTTTCATTTTATGGAATGACTAATAACCAAATAGTACCAAAATAATCACTATTATGAAATTGAAGATTTGAAAGAAACATAATTGCTGTGTTGTCCTTGACATGTGCTAAGATACTAAGGAAACTCCCTTAAATTGGTTTTTTCTGTCTTTAAATAATTATCATAAATATCTTTTTCAAATTTAGTTCAGTTCTTTTTAAGTAATGGTTATATTTACTATTTGTAGAAGCAAAAATTCTCATCACTTTTCCTTAAACTTCACACCCTTCAGAGGAAATCTCAGCCAAGTTTCCTTACTTATTATATATTCTTTTTTAAAAACAGTGATAAATGGCTCTCCATTCCAAGTCAATGTGTGTCAGTTACAGACTCTCAGTGTCTTTGTAGCTTGAAAGCCTTGTGCTCCATGACAGGTGTCAGGATTGGGGCTGATGCAAATTAATATTAAAGAATAATAAATGAATGGCAGACGAAATCTGAAAAATCTGTGTCAAAAACACTCAGCTTTAGAACTTTAATGCCCATGAAAATGAATTGCTACTAGGAAAATTATGAGCTGATTCAGAGCAGTGATATGGGAAAGGAAAAACACATTGTGTGACAAGCTTCTTGAATATACAGCTGATATTCAAGTCATCAGCTTGTATTATGGTTATTGTATAAGGGTATCAGCACGTGGCAGATTTAAAATACTAACCTTATAGATTGAGTTAACTGGTTCATGTTCTCTTCCTTAAGAAGTTTACATGTAAAAAAAAGTTTATATGTTAAAATATACTTTTTCTTAATGTGTCTTTTAAAGTTACTATGAAATCCTTTAGAAAATTTCCTATCAAGAGAATTACTTTTCAAATGAAATCATATACCTTTCAACATGCATTTTAATATGATTTTGCCTAAATATGAATTGTGCTGCATGCATGCAAAAATAAGTGTATGCATGCATCTGGACAGATGCATACACATTGTGCTCCTTCCTCGTGGCAGTGTAAATTGTTTAAATGTGTCACAGAATGCTTCATTAGAACTATAGACGAATGAAGGAGGTATGAGAAGTCCCTGAGCATTTGCAAGCCACTGTATCCATACCATAGTAAGAAACTCAATTTCCCCCTCAAATTCTATTATAACTTCTACTTATAAATATAACCTCTGCCTCTGAATGACACTTACTGTGTGTATTTTTGCCACCTATATACCACAATTAAAAGATCAAATTAAAACATCTTTACAGATATACTATTATTGACATGGTGAAAGCAATTAAAATAGTTTTCTTACCCAGGGTATTGGCCGATGGCTGTTATTCTAGTTCTAGGAGTGGCTGAACCAAGAGAGTCACAATTTGGAGCCCAGACTAGGCAACTTTGTGACAACTACTTAGTGACTTAGTGAGACTCTGTCTCAAAAATTGACAGGTAGATAGATAGATAGAGCTTTGTGAAGACACCTTCCCCTCCACATTCGATCATGATAGCCACAGAAAAGGGAAATAATGGGAATAACAGTTGCATGACTGATGTGTGGGAAGAGTTCCCTCTGCAGGGATTTAACCAGTGTATGTACATATTGATTATGGAAGGACAATACAAGTCCTGAGGGTGGAGTTGCATATCTAGATTTGACTGAAATACTAAGAGCAAGCCTTACTTTATAATTCTTTAAGGACATGTGTATTGTAAAAAAAAAACCCCAGAATATCTCTATCTGTCTATCTAGATTCTGAGACATATAGTGTATATGTGTGTGTATGTATATATATATATGTATATATATATATATATATATATATATATATATATATATATGTTTCTAAGACATGTGAAGAAGCAGTCAGGGTATCAAGAATATATGTCCAAAGCCAAACCCTACATTTTAAAGTGTAAAGAGACATTTGTAGGAAAATGGATGTTGACTGGAAAATACAATGCTGAGTGAAATAAATCAGACATGTAAGCTTAAATACGCAACAGTATCCCTCATTTGAGTAAGGCAAAGTACAAACAAAGAGCACAATAAAGGATGGATGGAAGGAAACAAGGGTATAGATCTTTTGCAAATGGGAAGGGGTCCAGGAAAACAAGCGTGAGGGGAGAAGGGGAGGGGAAGGGAAGTAGTCGAACAAAGATGTGCCATGCATGGGATCCTAATGACTTCAGTGATTGTAGACATTATACACCATAAACATGAGCTAGGAATAATGGCAATGAAAATTCAGAAAGGGGATTTAGATGCAGAATAAAGGAAGTGAGTATAGGAAGGGAAAGAGATTTTTAAAACAAACAAATTGTGTTATGTTCATGTTCCTCCTCCCCAAGGTGAATGTAAACTTCATGTCCTGCCAACATGTACTCATAAAATTAAAAATGTAAATTTCAACAGGCTCCTATTGTACCCTGCTGTTTCTACTTTTCTATCAAATTTGGATTTCCCAAAGAGTGGCCGAGAAGCTGTCTCTGAGAATACAGATCTATGCAGTGTGGTTGTAGATATAGTGGACCCTTAAAGAATATCAACTGTGGTGAAATTCTGAAACATTCTGTTTCTCCTCTTCTATGTGCGAAATATGTGACTTTCTAATTTTAAAAATGTATGCTCTATGCACATACAAATTCTATGTTCTGAATTTCCAATTCATATCCTATAACAATTACAGTTTATATGCATATACATGGTTAATTGCTAATCTGTTTTAAGAGGATTACATCCTCATTATATCAGCGGGAAATACCTTAAATGCAAATGATATGGAAAAATACCAAATAGCACAAGTGATTATGTTTTTTTCACTCATTATTATATTCCTGCATGTATACTATAGCCTAGAATTTGCCTGACTATTCAATAAATATCTATTTAAAAATTAATGAAGCAATAAAAGAACCAGGTATCAGTTGAACTGCCTGAAAGAATTATACACTTTGTGTAATTTAGAGAAGAACAGGAAGATCCTATGTTTTTGGAACAGTCTCCTTAAAATTACTTATACACTTATTCTTAAAGAATACTGTTCACTTACACAGTAATTTTCCTTTTTTAAAACACCTACAGAGTAGAATACTTCTCCATCAATAATAGAGTTGATTCTAAAGGGAAAGGGCATTGAGAAGGTTCTAGGTCTTTCTGGCAACCCCCTCACCCTTTTCGAAAGCACTGAATTAATGCATATTTACATTGAAAACCCTTTCCTTTGTGGTCAAGACATTTTTTTGGAATAAAGATACGTGGACCTCAATTTACGAGTTAAATAGATTCTAAGAACCATCCAGATTCATTAAATTATGTACATAGAACAAGATTTATCTATTGCTTTTAATGAATGTTTAATAATATATTTATAATTGGGTGGAAAATGTGTTATTTAGAGACCATTCTCTTGTGAGTCAGAAAATATAGATATTTAATCATGCAACCATGAAATCTGCCAAAAGGCTCATAATAGAAATAATAAAATAATATAATTCTTAGAAATTATACAAATTTTAAAGTCTGAAATTATTTTCATTCTATTAGACATTACCACTGAATCCACTGTCTTGAGTATTTGGCCACATTATCTCCTTATTTCTGCTCTGGCTATTTTCCCCAGGAGGAAGGGACATTGATTTTTATATTTTTGTCTCTAACTTCATCTTTCCCTCACTCTTTCCCTGTGGCTGTCTGACTGTCTCCATGGTTGAATGCAGGAGAACTGGGGACTGATTGCTTATGTCCTCCAGCAGGAGGGAATCTGCTTGTATAAATTTGCCATATTCGGTATTTCAAACTGAGGAAACATGATTCCTGGCACACAGAAGCAATGTTCTCCATATTGGCTTCACAAATACTTTGATATCTATTTTCATTTCTTTCTGCCTCATTTTTAAATAGGTTAAATTCAAAGCAGGAGAGAGACAGAGAGAGGGAGGTAGAGAGGGAGGGAGAGAGAGTGAGATAGATTATTAATTGTTTGGGGACCTCTTAGCCTCCAATAAAATATTTTCTGTAAAACAAATTACTTGTATTTTAAAAGAGAGAGAATGAGGGATTCATGTTATTTAAGTAGATCACTATTGCTCATAAATTGCTCAAATCGATTTCAAGGAAATTTCTAGAGATTTTCATAAAACTTTTATTAAAATGTTTCATTGTGTTTCAAGAAAAGAATAGACTCAAGAACGTGTGTGTGTCTTTGTGTGTGTGTGTGCATGCACGTGTGTGTGTATGAGTATTTAAGGGATCTTCTCTAAACACTCATTGCTGGAGTGATCAAGAAAAATGGGAATGTTATATGAAATCATACAATTTAATAAAGTTTTCCTGTGACCTCCTAACTTTACACCTCACAAATCATATTTATCATAAAATGTAAATACAGAACAACATTTATTCTTGTTGTGTTGTCTAACAGAATTGTTAGTCTTTCAAAGCATGTTTTAAAAGTGCTTGCATAATGCTTTCTATGTTCGAGACACTTGACAAACATTCAGTGCATATTTACTGATATAATAAATAATCTACAAACTAACACCACATTTAAGCCACATTTATAGACACTTAGTTGAGAGAGGATAATAAACTTATTAGCAATGTGGCAAACTAAAAATAAATACAGTAGAAATAGAAATAGTGTTTTTTGCATTCTCACTTTTGTTCCAAGATTATCACATATGATGGTATCTTCTGTTTATGTATTACTGAATTTATATGTGATAACAGATCCCGTGGGCTGAAAATCTACATCATACTAAAAATTTCCAAAGGTTCAAGAATATAATGAGGGTTATTGCAGCATTGATCCATATTTAGCTTCATATTTTCTGTTAATTCATGTAAGATATGTAATGTTTATCACTGGGCCACATGAATAGCTTGACAAGTGGACCTTTTTAATATATTGCTTTACTTTATATGTAATATGAATAAATATTTATTGGGGCAAATATAAATCTTCCATAATATTAATCTAATCCTTACCACAATCTTATAAAACAGGCACTTGTTTTGTAATCCCCCATTGTGAAATCAGCATTGTTCAGATCCCCATGAGAGAGACGGTGGTGCATGGGGGTTAATAAATTGACACATGTTGTACAGTACTAGTTCAGAGCCGAAGTATGCCTCTGAATGTGAATGTGCCTCTGAATCTGTGATCGTAGCAAATTGAAATGTGACCTCTCTGAAAAGCACTGTTTAACATGTGTCTTTTTTGGTGAAATGCAGGCCACCTATTTTGCTAGTGTAAACTTCACTGTGTCACTTACTGTTTGGTAGGTGAAAATTGAATTATTTATGTTGAAGCTCAATCTCACATTTTTCATGTCCATATGTCTTTATTTCCATGTGACTCAGATAATCCTTCAGAATTCCTTTTTGCTTAGTAAGAAATAAAAAAATTTCACACACTGACAAAGTAGAACCTAGCTAACGAAGCATTAAATTATAAAGTCTAAGTACCACTTACCTCCTTGGGCAAGAGGGCCTGGAGCTGGAGGCTGGAGAAGCGCAATGAATGGTGGACTGTGGGGACCCTTCAGTTTCTGCCGTGTGTTGTTCTGATACAGAGAAGCTTTCTTAAAGCATAGTTACTCCATTGCTTTATTTATAATGATTGCCTGGGTATGGTGTTCGTGCAGTTACTTCACTCCTTTTCTTTATTAGCTGCTGACTTTTTTATTATCATGCTTCCCCTTTTTGCTCTGAATTGTTAATTATTACCTTGATGGCACTGGGTAAAACTTCTGTTAACTGTCATTGTTTGACTAGCAGTTATGGAGATTTACTTTTGCTAAACCCCTACCGTACTACACAGTTGTGAAACACAAGGCATAGAGCATTAGAGGAAAGCCTTTCTGCTTCTGAGGCCTTCAGCCTACCGGGATATTTCCAGATTTACAAGAAACTGGTAATGAGGGGCCTGTATATTTTGTTATACAGGTGTGATTATCATCATTTAAAAAAAAGGTACTATCAATCAAATCTTAGAGAAATATATTGCTATGATTAAGTTGTCATCTTTTGACCAATATTACTGTCACTGATTTGCAAAAATCAAATTTAATGAAATGTACCAAAGAATCGAATGATGCTTCCATTTTATTGCAGAGTGATTTAACTTTACTGAATAGCATGTAAATTGTAGCTACAAACTTGAAAATACAATCCGGGATAATATATACCATAAAGTTGCATGCTTGCTTGCTTCTACTTGTTGGAAGTTTGCTTTTGATATCTTTTATTCTAATTCCCTGGAATAAATTCATATCACATCAAGACTGGAAAATCTGGGTAAAATACAGCTTTTGTGCTTTCATAATCCCTTGGAAATGACATGTGCATCCATTTTGCTTCTTTCACGAGGTGTTCCTACATCTCTACGAGGTGGCTCCATGTGTTCCCACTTACAACTTTGGTATTCATGACCTATGTTTTCATGATACTGAACTTGTAGTTCCTTAAATCTACCGTGTTATATAGATGAGGAGCTTTAAATTCTTGACCCTTCACTTTTTGAATGTGCTGTTCTTAATATGTTTCCAAGCGCTTCATGTATTCACGAAGTGCCAGGACTTATGACATTAAATGATGTACAAGTACTGCTTGTATTCATAGAGGCAAGATGAAGATCTTTAGTCTTTATATTCATCAAAAATACAAGAAATTTCCCATTTAAGTATGCATGTGTCATATACTGTCCCTAAAAATTGATTACTAAAAATATAAATGTGTCTTTATTGGACTCAAGACTGAATCTCTGCCCCAAAACCTGTGTGTCTAATACCTATTTTTAGCATTGCCTTAGGATTGAGCTCATTGTACTGCAAGTCATATCTAAAGTTTGTTAAAGCAGAAGTAACACTTCTAACCCCATCCATGAAACAAGATAAAATTTATCATTCCCAAGCAAGAAATGTATAATTACAATACAGGAAAACTTTCAATGAAGGCAGTAAAAAGAGCTCTCAGTACTTTGATGTGTTTGCAGTGACTGTCCTCTGCCAAACTTACCTTGGGATGTAATTGCTGCCATCATGATTTGGAGAGATGGTTCCTGAGACCATGAGGTTCCATTACAAAAGAGTGAGTTCCGCCCCTCTGCTGCTATTACTTTCTCTCTGCTCCTCTGCTGCTGCTCCTCCTCCATCTGCCTATAACTCCCCTCTCTCTCACCTTCCTTTTGTCACATGATGTTGCAGCAAGAAATGTCTCATCAGATGTTGGCACCTTGATATCCAGCCTCCAGACCTATGAGCTCGTAGCTTTTTATTCATTTAAAAAAACATTTATTAGGATATGTTTGCAGTGCATGCATTTTACAGTCAGCTAGGGGAGCTGGTATGGGCACATAATAGAGCTTCTTTGTGGATCTAATCCCCTCCCCTCCCTCTTCCTTTAGTTCTTCTCCCTTCCCCCTTATCACCCTTGTTGACATTGTTAATCTTAGTTCAAGTTTATGGCATATAATGTCAGTGTTAGTTGAAGTTATTAGGACCTTGTACCTGACTCATCTTCACACTTCCTGTTTCCCCATCTGTTTATTATAATTTATCCAGTTTCAGGGTTTCTGTCACAGCAACATAAAACAGGCTAAGAAACAGGTTTTTTTCTGTTTTTATTTTGATATACAATCATTTTAAGTCATTTTGATCTCAGAGAAGAGCCAAGAACAGAAAAGGCTAGGATGTTGAAAGAGTGGGCTATGGATTTAGAAATGGAATTCTGCTTCTTAAATCAGTTTCCCTATATGCATAAAATTGATAGTTCTCTTCAGAAGTAGAGACTCTCTTGCAAAATGATAATAATTATGTGATTCTTCTAGACATTAGCAAGAAAACGGCAGTGACAAACTCATCTTTAGGCTGGACTTTTAAGTACCAGGGGAAGTAGAGAATCTGCTGCTTCTAGCAGGCCAAACCTAGCTGTTGACAAAATAGGCATGGAAAGCAGAAGAAATAACATCGCTTAGATTATTCTCAATATATAATGAAGATAATATCTGAGAAAATAAAATATTCCTCTGTTATAACTTCCATCAAGACCACTTCTATAGTTCTTATAATGTTTAAATTCTAGTGGCTCAGGTTAAACTATTTTCCCGATTATAAAATAAATGAAAAGTGATGACGGATATAAAAATAGCAATACTCACCAACCAGATTTAGCAGCTGCTAACATTTTATAATATTTATTTCATGTCATTTGTTGTTAAAGAAATAAAATATCATGATAAGCTGGAGGATTATAAGGAATGAGGTATTATAAATGAAGCTAGAAATATTTTACTCCATCACTGAGAATCATTTCATAAGCATCCAGAAACAAGAGCCTTTCTTCCCCTTCTGAGTTTTTGTATTATTTAGAAATAACTCTCTAATATACTTTTAAAAGTACGGTGGACATGAAGTATACCATTACTACCTTGCTATTTTGACAATTTATTCATGTCCAAAAATCATGATTTTGTCATCTGTTTTATTCTTTTTGTCTGCTAAATGCTATATTAGTAGCCAGACAATACATGGTACTGAGTATATAGTGTTGCGTGAATATTTGCATACCTTTTGTATTTTAAAGACATTTTTGTGTTCTTCTTCTTGTGTCTTCAATTAATGAATTGATTATCATATTTATTTCTTTTCCTAGAAATCAATTTAAAATTGTAAACTCTGTTTCTGGTCTTGTAGTAGTTGTTCTTGTTTGTTCAAGAGGCTTTCCAACATGATATACACAACTGGTCAGTGGCTCTATTTTCCTCCCGTGCATTCGGGGAACATCAGAATACTTGAGCACTCGTGAGACTCAGAGGAAAGTGCCATTATTATTTTGTGCTTTTTTAATTCCACTTTTGTAACCCATTACTGGGAACTATTGCTGCTGGTAGTTTTACAAACAGTGCATGTCAAGGTTTAACAGAGTATGAATTTATTTGCTTACCATTGGTTTTTCCTTTGCACTCCCTCTCTAAGTTTAGTTTCTGCCCTCCTTTCTTTTTCCATCCTTTATGGTATATTCAGCATAGATATGTCAAGGATATTCTTCCTATTTTATTTCACATTGACTTCTCTTTCGTCAAGAACTCATTAGTCACTTGTGCTTATGCACCTTGCAAGTGACCTTTTGTATGTTTTTTTAATGTTGCTGATTAAAGGTCCCTGTTAGGCTAGTTATACTGCTATCAGTACTCTGACTTTTCTATCTCTCTTTGTCCTTGTGCTCTGCTAGTTTTACTATGGAGATTTCCTTTTTTCAATGTCTCTTATTTGTCTCACAATGTTTCTCATTTTGTTTTGTTGTCATGTTTATGCCTTTTGTATGGGATCATTTTAAACACCCTTCTTTTCAAGTTGTTCTATCACTTGCTGTGTCTCTTCTCTTTTGCTCATACTAATTCACTTCCTCATTGGACATAACTTTAAATTGTAAGTGTATGTTGACCAGGACATTATTTTATTTTTGTTTGTTTTGGTTTCTTTTTCCATTTACTTATTTCTTTCCTTGTGAGGACCATGCACCATGGATTTTTGAAGAGTATTTCAGAGACACTGGCAAGGTGGTGTTCCTTGTACAGACATTAAGTACAAGTAAATTTCCAAATTCTTATCTGCATAGGTGAGAGGAGCTTCCACTTGTCACTTTCAAGCTTTTCCACCCATGGAGATATGGAAATTACAATTCACTTGGCCCATCCTTAGTGTTCATGTGCAGGTCCAATGCTCCCTCTACTTATGCAAGTTAAACACAGTATTTTAAATCTAGTTCTAAATTCTGTCTTTTAGACATCACAGATTCTCTTTGAAATGCTCAGGTTGATGTTTCTGAAAAGATCAGTATTTTTAAGTAGTTTTCAAAAATATATAATCTTGGTTTTTCTGTATTGTTGTAATATGAAAAGGCCCCTTATGCACCAGGCCTGGCTTACTGTGAGACGCGCATCACCACTTTAAGCCTCAGAATCATGTCCATGCCTCCACTGTGAAATCCTCGTTACCATGGCAAGTGACATGGCACATGTGTCATCCTGAGCATGACATCACACTTTATTAGTGCCTAGGTACTCTGTGTTTGTGAGTGTTTTCAGAGTGATAAGTTGTAAATATTCTTTTTTCAGGTATATAAAATATAGATATTTTAATTTACCTTAGGTTATTTGTTAAATTAGTCATCAATATTAGAACTCTATGACCAAGAATAAGCTGTTAGAATAATTCTTTAAATATTCAGTTACATTGAAATAATGACCTGGGAAATAAAGATGGAGTAGAAATCATATTTCTATTTTGACTGTTGTGTTTTATTACATCTTTAGAATAAGGTTGTATCTACCTTCTAAGTATCTGTCACATGTGAAAGGTTTTAAGCCAAAGATGGAGACACATGGCTGTGATCCCAGCATTTAGGAGGCTATGCCAAGAGGATCATAAGTTCTGGACCTGAGGTTCCATGAGACTTGACTACATAGTGAGACCCCGGCTCAGTGGAAGACATGAGTAGGTGTTAGAGGTTGTTAAAATACTTCGGCTTTGCTTTTAACTGCAACCCAACTAGAAGTAATTGATTGTTGGACTTCTTTTCGGGGGGGGGCGTTTTAATGTGGCATACAGTATATATGCTCACATACAACATGCTGCTTTAAACATGAATGGTTTGGTACCTTGTAATGAGTAGAAGTCTTCTCCACAATCAGCGCAATGAACATACAGATGAGTGTGTGTCCTCCTGCTTCCCCTGCTCACCTTTCTCTGTTATCCGCATCGTCGAGCTGCCTGTCCCTAGCCAAACATCTGTCTATGTTCTGTTTATAGATTAGTTTACATTTTCTATAGATTTTCATAAATAGTATCTTATTGTTCATACTTCAGAAACCCTAGAGATATTCAGGTTATTGGTGAGTGTATCTTGATTACATCTTTCAAAAACTTTGTTCCTTTCATCAATTCTTTAAAATTTTTGGTGAAA